TGGCCTGCTGCAGGACTCCATGAGGAAACAAGCCTGGAGGGTCTAGGAGCCTGGAGGCAGGGCTGGGTCTGAATGGGTTTGCAGCCCCGCTGCTGAGGGCTGGCCCTGCCCTTTCTTCTAGGGATCAGAGAGGAAAGGCCCTGAGCCACACCCTCCAGAAATGAACCCTTGCTCAGAGAAGGGTCACCCACTCACGCAGTTCAAAGCACTCTGGAGTAGCAAGCACAGGGGGAAGGCGTCCGGAAGGACGTCAGCAGGCTATTCTGGACATGCGTGCTCACCCAGAGCTGCTCCCTGCAATTCTGGGGCATCCACACCACAGGAAGTGGAGGGAGCACTCCTTGGACGGGCCTGCTTCCAGACCTCAGATAAACAGCTCTCCTGCCTCTCCCTCGATAAAGTGGGAGACTAAAGAGAGAAGACACAACTAAACCATGGAAAACTACGGTCCAAGTAGAAATACAAGTTTTCCTGTAAATAAATGAGTAGTGCATCAGTCTTCTATGCTGCATAACACAGCATCACAAACCTAGAGGGTTGAAGTGATGCTCATTTTGAGACAGGAGGGAAGGGAGCAGGGCACAACTATTAAAAGCATGACACACCAATTGAGGACAGGGCGTAACCTGGTCAGAACCAGCTAAGCCCAAGATGGCAGAAGACTTGACACCCAGCAGACCCTGAGCCTCAGGTGCTCACGGCACTACATCAGCTGCTAAATGGCACTCCCGCAGGCTCCAAGACAGGGCCAAGGCTGGCCAGAAAAGGCCCCAAAGTGGGCAGGGGCCCAATTCCTGGACACCTCCATCCCTTCCTCATAATAGCTGGAATAATCCTCCCACTTGTTGGCATATGAAATTACTGAGTTCATTAAAAACCAGCCACCCCGAGGCTCTCGCCTTCTGAGCTGGCCCACGCTGGGCCTATGGAACGTGCGCCTCCGAGGCCGCGCTCACTCTCCTGGGGGACCCCATGCTCTGGGGCTGCCGCTCCTGCCTGCACCCTGTCTAGGAGTGTGTATCTCCCTGAGTAAATCTACTTTTACTTTACTATGCCTCACTCCTCTTGAATTCTTTCCTATGTGAGACAAGAATTTATTCTCCGGCAACAATTTATTTTCTTAAGTTATGTAAGGCATAAGTCGAGGCACAGGATAAGTGGTGTACCTGCCCAGGGTCTCACCCGTCAAAGCTCGAAGTCCTCTTCTGAGCTCATGCAGGTTGTTGGCAAAATTTAGGCAGCTCTCAGTCTCTTGTCATATTGCCCCCTCCATTTCCAAAACTAGCACAAATAAACCCTTGCGTCAAACACCTCTCATGCTTCAAACCTCTGACATTTCTGTCTCTGACTGCTACGGCCAAATTTAGAGGGCTCGTTAGAGTAGGTCAGGTTATCTCCCTATCTTAAAGGTCAGCTGGTTTGGGACTTTAATTACATTTTCAAAATTCTTTACAGCCAACATCTAGATTAGAGTGTGAGTGACTCTAACGGGGGGAAGGTGTATGTGCATCTTAGAGGCCAGGAATTTGGGGGCCATCTTACAATTCTGACTGTCACAAGCATCACGTGTGACTGCCTGGCTAAACAGGTAAGATTTAAAAATAAAGATTTTCAAATGCCTACTAGTGTTGATCCTGTTTGTTTCCATGACCAGCTGCCCCAAAGACAGAAGGAGGGCCAAGGGGGTGAGTGTAAATTATTTATAGATAAACCAAGCTGAACTATACAGCTGTTCTCTGTGCTGTTAGAGCAGAGTTATCAACAAGCTGTCCATGTGTTACAGAGTCTGAGGCTCAAAAGAAAATGAGGAAGCACTCATGACTTAGAGGCTAGCTTGGCAAGTCAGCTGCAGTTCTGTGGTCAATGGCAAGTTTTCTAGCCACAGAAAGATGACAATGCAGTGTCATAAAACGGCTGAGGAAATGGCTGAGCAGCGGCCCTCAGACAAGCTTTATGAATGACGGTGACATAGCGCTTAATCAAACACAACTTTTGCCAGGAAGTTGGGCCAAATCAATAGGCAGTGCTTCACAGCACTCAATTACCACAAAATCTGACCATCTCCTCAAACACATTTGAGATTGAGGGCTGAGCTGGGGTGCTAGTTGAACAGTTAGAAACTAAAAAGCTAAAAAGCACCAAACATCCCTTTAGAAAACAGGGCCTACCTGAGTTTCTTGGAATACCAGAAAGTAATTAGGGAGAAACGCTTCTTATGAATTGAATTTAACTTGACAACAAAGACCTCCATGTTCAGCAAGTCTATTCTACTTCCATTTTTTTTAAAAAAGGCTTTAAGTCTCCATTTCAAACTTTAGATTTGAAATCAATGTTTTCTGCCCTTAATAATTATATAAATCAAAGAACTCAATAAAACCAGTTCCCACCCAAAGCACCTTTTACGGTCTGCAATAAATGTTTAAAAAAATGAGTTGTTATGAAAATTTAACAGCACTGGCATAAATAACCAGGGGAGTGAGCGCTGGGGGGCGCGGGGTGTCTGCATCATGCTCCTGCCCCAGGCAACAACTGTTATGGAGCTGGGGGAGAGGGGAGCAGGAAGAGGAAAGAGAGGGGAAGGGAAGGGAGAGGAGGGTAGGGGAACAGAGGTAGAATTAAACAATAAATTTAAACAAAATGGATGAAAACAAAACCTACTTTTTTCCAGGTAGTTAATTTAATCAATTTACTGTCAAAGAAGTTGGAGGGCAGTACTGACCACGAGGGCGGTGTGAGGGGTCCATGGGGGCGGAGGGGGCAGAGTTAGAAAGCAGCCGAGGGCCTAGGGCCGCATCCTTGCTGAGGGGCTGTGGACTGTCCTGGAGGCCCAGGTTGGCAATCGGATGCAACATGAAATGGTAAATTTCATCCAACTTGAAAGTTTTTGCAGTTACTGGAAAGGGTATTTTAAAATTAAGAGTGATTTCTGGTTTAGCAAACATGACCACAAGTGGTAGAAATAGTTCACAGAAAACATAGGGCAAAACTTCAGTGCGTAAGTCAAGCTGTAGTGAGCAAGGATTTCTGATTACTTACAATCTCTGGAAAAAAATATTATTAAGTGTTCTGTTAAGGATATTTCTCAAGTCCTAAAATTACTGCTAAACATATCAAGCTAATGAAACAGTTACAGCATGGGCATTAATTAAATCGGTACATTGCTGGATCAAGAAGAAAAGGTGTAAGAGATGTTTAATGAAGTCCAGCAAAAACACCTGAAAATGTAAAACTAATTTAATTGTAGCAGAAGAAATCAGCAGGCAGTCTGGTTGGACTCAAAGATAATGTGTGGCAAATGTTAAGTATGATATACGTGCCAGACACACAAAGATAGTGTGAATCTATCTTCACAGCCTGGTTTAGTGGGGAGCAGACATCCAAACAACTAGAGCAATAACCAGCACACAGACAGAAGTTAGGAGAAGACATCATGTGTGATGAAGAATCCAACTTCAGTTCTGATGCCTGATTAAGACAGTTTTCAAGCCCCACAACGTCCCTTCACCTTAAGCCCCACACCTGGGCAAGCCCACAGGAAACCCTGCACACTCTCTTGGAGAAGAGAAGTGAGAAGTTCCAGCCGTGCAAGCCCATCCAGCCTCAGCCCATGACCACTGGAGTTCATCAGCCCTATTCTGATTCACTCAACAATGAGACAACCCATCCAAGAATTTTACCAGAGAGAGAAAACTCATCATTAAAAAAAACAAAAACAAAAACAAAACAACAACAACAAAAAAAACAAACAAAAAAACCAACTCTTCTGCTAAAGGTCACAATGTATGCCATGTTTCATTAAAAATCTTCCATTTGATAGGAGACTATGGGTGATATATTATTATAATTGGATTAAGAACTCTATGTTTTTGCAGTCTCAACATTGTACCTAAACCTTTAATTGGACAGAAATAATAGAGGTGTATTTTTATCGGAACATTATAGTCTTTAAACCTAACAACCACAAGTCAATTTTACTATTTATATAATGACTACTCCCAAATACTGATTCCATCTATAGGTACAGAAAGCAGCACACAAACTTCTCTGCATGCTCACCCCCAAAACCCATGATCCCTGTGAGAATATAAACACTTCAAACAATGGAGCTGCTCTCAGGCATCTCCTCTCATGCTAACTACTCTTCTGTGGTTTTGTATAAGCATAAATGATGTATTTGATTATTCTAGGCTTGAGATTGTAAATATTTATATTTAATGTCTTTACTAGTAAAAAAATGGTTAACTACAATCTTGACAACATTAAAAATTTTTTAATTTTCATTTATTGAACCAGAATAGATCTACACACAGCTCATCCCCAATTTCCTTTCCAAGTTCCTTTCTTCTGCTAACCTACCAGAGTGGCATTTCTCTAGCAGTTATATCATTGAAGATGCTCTCTTAATAATCTTAAGATGCTCACCTGATAAACTGGGTTAGAACCAAATACGAGCGAAGACCTGTCTTCTCCTTAGTGTATCTGAGATGAGCAAAATCTGAGACCCAGACATGGAAGATGAGCCAGAACTGTGGTTTGAGGATGTCATGCTGTGGCTGAAACATGTCTTTCTGTAGGATTTGCTTTTGTTTGCCCTTCTGGGTTGGTTATTAATTTGGTGATGTATAAAAGTTTGTACTTTAAAAGCATATGCATTAAATAATGTATTATTCTATATCCATAAGGAAAAATGTTAATACAAATGGAAATGAAGTGCTAATCAGAAAGGTGACCCGTAAGATTAACGCTGCTTCTGAAGAGAAGTCCTCTGAACAAGAGACTCCAGTATTGGGTATCTTTCACACTTCAAAAGTTAATACTAGATGTTAGACTCATAATAGATACTTACTTCCTATTTTCAAACTGCACTCAGTATCATTTACTTTCCTGATGACTTAAACGTGTAACTTTCCCATACAAGATAACACAAGCAAAAGGCAAGACAAATGCAAGCATAAAATACATACAATAGTTTAATGGAAAACTGAAAATTTTACACTTACTGTTCATGGAAATCCAGCATTGGTGGCTCAAATCGTATAGGTCTGCAATTACCCCGGTACAGAGATATACTGTACGTAAAAAGAAAACAGCAGTAAGAAGCAATCCTTCAAAATATGTATTTCCCCAAACTGAAGTCATATACTTGAGCCTTGTCATGATAAAGTACCTCTAAGAAATGTGGAACCTAGAGCCGGGGTAAGGGGATGATATAGTTGGTAACAGCATACCTTAATACGTTATTTGATTTTTAGACACATGCACAATGAACAATAAATAGTTAATACAACCACCCATACTTGGAAGGCAATATATAGAGACAAAACAAAACAAAAACAAAAACAAAAACAAAACCATGATCTCCATGTAACTGGAGCGGCAAAGAACTAAACAAAAATCAACTTGGGGATAGAAATTTGCAAAAACTGATATATCTTTTTAATCTGAGAGTTTGGAACTTGCTGATTTATGATGTCTTGGCCTAAATATTTGAGTACCGTTTTCTAACTATTCCACTTGATACCAGAACTTCTCACTAAAACAGATTTCTGAATAGCGAACCTCCTAGACATCACCACGACCTAACATTGATGCAAAGTATAAATGATAATTTATATACTGAGAAAGTGAGAAAGTCAGTCAGCTACTAAAGTTTTTAAATAGTAGAGTTTATCTTTCTGTTGTATTTTAATAATAATAAAATGGTATTATTTTGACATAAGATATGATGATATGTAATAAGCTAGAATGATATAAGAGAAAAGCCCACTTGGTGAGACCGCTTTATTTCCATCACCACCATAATTCACAAGAGCACAAGCTTCAGATGATACAGTAATTTCATTCAGGAAATTAACTGGAAATAGACAAGGACATACAGAATATGTAGAAAATATAGCTTTAACTCACTTCAATAGATTAAATAGTCTGAGCAGTGGAATAGCTGATCTTAAATTAACAGTCTGCAGCTGTTTCCAGCCCTACCAATTTCAGAGGATCACCCTGCGCTGCTTGATAATCCTTCCACCTACGCTGAACTGAAAAGATGACAAACACAAGGAGGAAAAGACCAAACGTAAGATTATAATTCACCAATGCACAAAACTAAAGACACCGGAACAGAGAAAGCACAATTCCTCACAAGCCAGCTGCCACACAGAGAAGACGTACAGTCTACTGCCTCCTGATTTCTGCCCTTCTTGGACATACTGTCATAAGGATACTCTCTGGCTCCTTTAAAACAATAGATACTGATCAGCTCATCAATTTCAACGGTGTGCAACTCAAACTTACATGAGGTCTCCATCCAATCAAGAAAAAAAGTATTATGCATGAAGTCATTAATCCATATATACGTATGTATATAAAAAGAGACTGTGTCAGATGCTAGAGATACAAGGGAGATTAAGATAAAATTTTTCTCTCTCACAGAACTGAAAGTCTAATCCCCAAGCTGCAAGTGGAAATGTCTAAAGTGTCCAGGCAAGGAAAAAGGCACACACCCCATCCACTCAACGCAAATACGCTGCACGTCCGGGGCTGTCGAGGCTGGGGCTGTGGGAACAAAGCAAAGAGCCTGTTCTCATGGCACTGACATCCCAGCAGGGACACAAAAGTAGAACATGTCATGTGATGATGCATCAAACACAGCAGGGGCACAGGAGGTCTCTCTGAGAAGGGACACTGGAGCCGAGACCTGAACGGTAGAGATCTGGAGGAAGAAAAGTAGGGATGTACCTGGCATGCTGAGGGACAGGAGGCTGAAGCGCCTGCAGTACAGGGAGGAGGGGAGGAGGCGGAGCTGAGATCAGAGAGGTACAAAGGCCAGGTCTCCTTGCAGGAGTCTGCATTTTATTCTAAGGGTTACAAAAAGCCTGCACAGTGTTTTGAGCAAGGAAGTAACATGATCTAACACGTTTCAAAAGGTCGATTCTGGTTCCTGTGTGAAGAAGAGACTGTAGGAGCCCAAGAAGGGGAGTAGGGAAGTCCTGTAGTCCAGGATGAGGGGATGGTAACTGTGGTCCAGGGGGACTACAAGGGAGGGTGGTGAGAAGTGGCTCTTTTCCGAGTATTTTTGGAAGCTAGAGACAACAGGTCATGCTGATGGACTGACTTTGGAGTATGAGAGAAAGTAGAAAGGCCTCAAGATGACTTAACTCTAAGATTTGGACAGAGAAACTGGATACACAGCCACACATGGGAGAGTGGGCTGCAAGTGCGACAGGGAAGTTGGGTGGAGATTCAGGGGTATGTTTTAGACTTTAAATTTGAGATGTCATATCTAGATGGAGATGTCAAGTAGGCAGACAGATATGCAGGTTACTGCTTTACATTAAAAACTTACTGATTTGTGGGGACTGATATTGGTGAGTTAATTCTAATAGTTTGTCTGAGATTCTCCCCTGCCCTTAGATGTGCTGCCAAGATGACCACTATGGTGGATTATCTCTGTAGACAAATCACCTGCAAGTACCAACAACTATATTTCTTCTTTTTAAGGCCTTAGACCTTGTTTTCCTTTTTTATGCCTTTCCCTCTCATGTGAGCTCGATCACGACAACTTTCCCTCTTGTGCCTCCACTGGCTTCCCCACTCCTCCCTCACAGCAACCCCTCCTCTAACTCTTAACTAACTGTCTATATTCTTCTTCTGGGAACACTGGCTACGAGAAAATACAGTAAAAATCGAAAGACTCCATATTTGATACAAGAATATTAAAGAGAATGCAGCACGGGGCTGGGAATCAGAAGATAATAAATTCTAACTGAAATTCTGCCACTCTAACCTTGGGCACATCCCTTGGTTCTGAGAGTCTCCTCATATGTCAAACGAGGTGGCTCAATCAGACAATCAATCAGCATCTTCTGTAGTTAGAATCATGTCTCCTTACGCGATAACCGCCACTCTGGGGCCTGTAGGTAGACCCCTGGTGGTAACCAAGGAGTCACTAGGGAGCTATACAGCTGACCCTCTTACAAAGCAAGAATTGTTTCAGCTGTGAGTAAATCCCCTTTATATATGATGGAGGAGGAATGCTAGACAATGCATGACATGCAAATTCAGATTTAAACCTGGTATTCCATACACAATACTTGAAATACAGGATATAATGTGATTGATAATTTCTTTTCCCTCTTCACCAAAAAAGTATGGGGAAAAAGAAGGAGCGCAGGAACCCCTCAGAAAGAGCTAAAAGTGTGTCAAGTAACTTACTGAATATGTAAAATTTTCTATATTAAAATATATATATAGATATATATAACTTCCTTACCTTTTCTGTTGATATGAACTGAGTCCAAGTGTTGTCTCAGGCTGTGAAGGAAGAAAATAATGGTAAAAACATGGAAACCAAATCTTTACACTACAGACATATGGAATATCCAACATATTTTATTATAGTTTGAACTCTGACCTTATAGTCATCTTCAGGTTAAACTTGATCCTTAAATCATATTAAATGATTTGTCACACCATATAATTCAAATGAGAGAGTAATTTGGATTACATTTTAAATACACCTGGAAATAATGCAAGGTAATATAACTGATTTTTAAAAGTTTGCCAAACCAGTACATCCTGTAAGAGTCCTCTTTCCAATCACTTTGGGAGGCTATAATGTGTTTCTCACTGTTCGCTGCTCACCAACTATGCGCCAGGGGCTGATGGACTATGGTTTTTGCCATCATGGAGCTTGAGGTATGGGGGAGCAGTCATTCTAAAACTAAATAAATATGTGTTTATACGCTGAATAAAGGCTTTTGAAAGTACTGCAAAGGTGCTGTGAAAGAGAACAAATAGGTGACATGCTTAAATAATAAGTAATAGGTTATGAGAGGAGGCCTGTCTGAAAAGACAACATTTATACTGAAACTTGGGGTTTAAAAAACTTTGGGATAAAAAAAAGCTATGTTTGGAAGTAGGACCATGTGGCCCTGGAGAAAACAGCATGTGCAAAGGCCCTTGCACAGGAAAGAGCCTGGATGCTCAAGAAACACACAGCAGATCTATTTGGCTGCAGCTTAGAAAGAAGGGAGAGAGAAGGGGGAGAGAAGCAGAAATGAGGCTGGAGGTGAGGCGGCGCCCTGCTTATGTCGTGCAAATAAGGGGTCTGAGGTTGTAGGAGAGAAACAGAGACAGATATGGTCTGATTTATGTTTTAAAGACATTATTCTGGCTGTAGTGTAGGGTATAGATTAGAAGATCCCGCAACCACACTCCTGGGTGTTTCCCCAAAGAACTGGAAGCAGAGAGCAGGGACTCAATAGTTACTTGCACATCCATGTTGGAAGCAGCATTGTTCACAACCACCAACGCGGGGATGCAACCCAAGTGACAGACAAATGAACAAACAGCATGTGGCTTATGTGTACAAGAGAGTATTTATTTAGCCTTAAAAAGGAAGGAAATTAACATATGCTACAACATGGATGAACCTTGAAGACTTAAGTCTACGCTCAAGCTAATGAAATAAGCCAGTCATAAAAGGACAGATACCAGATGATCCCACCTATACGAGGTACTGACAGCAGTCAAATTTGCAGAGACAGAGTAGAATACTGCTTTCCAGGGCCTGAAGGAGGAGGGAAGGGAATTGCTGTTTAATGAGTACAGAGTTTCACTCGGGGCTGGAAAAAAAAAGTTCTGGAGCTGGATGGTGGTGATGCAAAAACAAATGTGACTGTACTATAGTGCCACTAAAATGTACATTTAAAAATGGTTAAAATTGTAACTTTATGTTATGTATATTCACTACAATAAAAAAAAGCTGTAATAATCAAGACAGTGTGACACTGAGATAAAGGCAGACAAACAGGTCAACGGAACTGGAGAAAGTTCAGAAACGAATTCACACATTTATAGTCAACTTTATTTTCAACAAAGACATCAATGTAATTCAATAGAAAACCACTTATCTTTTCAACAAATGATGCTAGAACAAGTGGACAAAGCTAGATGGGGGAGAATGAAACTATCCTTTCATTACACTATGAACCCAGATTAATTACAGATAAGTCATGTTCTAAGCATAAAAACTAAAATTATAAAGCTTCAGCAAGAAAACCACCTAATTTAAAAAAACGGGCAATTCTACAAATGTCAGTTCAGCACACCAGAAGATGCACAGTACCAGTTATCAAGGAAAAACAAATCTAAACCACAGTGATTATATACTGCAACCTACTATAACATCCAAAATGGAAGACTGATCCTACCAAGGGTGGGCGAGGATGCGGAGCAACTGGAACTTTCACACACTGCTGGTGGGAACATAAAACAGCATCACAATTTTTAGAAGTTTGGCAATTTCTTACAAGTTAAACTTACAGCCACTATATGACCTTGCCACTCCCTTTCTAGGTATCTATCCAAGAAAACAAAAGCATATACCCATACAAAGACTTGTACATGAGTGCTTACAGCAGCTTTACTGGTAACAGGTCAATACTGTAACAACCCAAATTTCCATCAACAGACGAACTGACACATGAACTGGGGTATGGGGTGGAACAATGGCATACTACTCAGCAATTAAAGGAGTAAACTCAAAGACTGGGAACCTTTCTTTCCATTAAGTACTTCCTTATTATTTTAGAAAAAATATTTTTAAAAGAATAGAATAACACTTGAATGGGAAAAAAGTATAAACTATTGATACATGCAACAACACGGATGACTCTTAAAATAATTCTGCTGAGTCAAATCCCCAAAAACTACATTCTATATGATTCCATTTATATAAAATGATTTAAAATATAAACTAACTGATAGGGTCAGGAAGCAAATCAGTGGGGGCCTAGAGAGGGTGGAGGGATTACCGAGGGTCGCAGGTAAACTTTTGGGGGGTCTTGAATACATGTTTATTATCTTAACTGTAGTGATGCTTTCATAGGTGTATAATGTCAAGTTTTTCAAACTACACTTTTTAAAAACATGTACAGTTTATTGTATGTCACTTTTACTTCCATAAAAAGTGTAACCTAAGAATTCTAGAATATGCCCAGCTGTGGTCCCCATCTGAAGCTGGCAGAAAGGAGACTCAGGAAGTGTATCACCCATGTATACTTTCTTGAAGGGAAAAAAGCATTGTCATGAAGATAATCTGGCCAAGAAGATTATTCATGAAGAATTGCACATGAGGAAGCTGTCTTGTGAAAGATGAGCGGATACTCACAGTAAAGGAACTGTGGAAATAAGGTTAGGAAAGCAGAAAGTAAATGTTGTTTTTGAAGTATAAGCCAGAAAACAGAAAAGCCATTCAACTATAATAAACAAGAATAAAAATCTCAGCACATGCCAACAATACACCCTAAGTATTGAGAGAAAGGGAAAGATTACAAAAGACACTAGTTTATTTCTGTTTCTTTTAATTTGAGAAATAAAGGTTTAAATACATCTTAAATGCATAACTGAAAACTAAGGCTCTAAATCAAGACACAGAAAACAACAAAAAGGAAAGCATAAAAGATGGCATAAATTTAAACACATATATGATATGATTAAATGAGATAAACTTGTCTATTAAGAAAGACAAAAGGATTGTGTAAAAAAAAAAAACAGAGCCCAATTATAAACTGTAAATACCTAATAAAAATGACGCAAAAATGTTGAAAGCCAAAAAGAATGAGCAAAAATAAACAGGGTTTAAGTGTCACTCCCCCCAAAAAAGAGAGAAATCAAAACAAACAAGGGTGACATTAGTAACAATGAAGACTTGATATCTTATGTAAACATTTTTATAATTGAACAGCAAAAAGAAAGAAAAATAAAAAAAATGGGGCAAAGAATACTGCGAATGAAATACAAGCAAAGAGCAAGAAGCAATTCACTTAAAGAAAAATAAATAGTCAATAAGCATATGAAAAACATGGTCACTGCAAATGAAATACAAGCAAAGAGCAAGAGGCAATTCACTTAAAGAAAAATAAGCAGTCAATAATCATATGAAAAAGATGGTCGGCTCACTAGCTAGTGAAACATTCCCTAGAAGATACTGAGATTCCCCATTTCACCATCTGATTAGCAGAAACCTTTGAACTTCCTGCTCAAAGATAAGACTCTGCCAGGAGTACTCAGGACCCTAGAAAATGCCTGTGCCATGTATTTTTGGATCTTCTATCAAATATAAGACATACTTAGAATATTTCAAAGTAAACTTCACTGAATCACAGAACGCTTGACATGGTGCACAGGATCTTTCCCCTGGGACTATCCACAAAGCTAAGCACAGACTCCTTCCCACCCACAACTGAGACTCCATTCTTCTGCTGCATTTAAGAGCTCCAGTCCCAGCCTAGCCCACTGCTGGGCTCACAATGCAGACCAGTCTGAGCACAGTCTCTTCTAGAGAGCACCCCACAGGGATATACGTAGGAGGAAAATGAACTATTTTTCCAATTAGATGGAAAAGACTCTGCAAAAATATATACGTGGTATGTTCTCAAAATATTATTAAATTCTCTTATCACAAAAATAATATATATGATAAGTTTAGCCCTGTAACCTAGTGGTTCTCAACTGGGGGCAATTTTGTCCTCCAGGGACAAGTGGCAATGTGTACAGGCATTTTTGATGGTCACAACTGAGGAGGCTACTGGCATCTAGATGGTAGAGGCCAGAGACGCTGCTAAATGCCCTACAACGCACAGAACAGTCTTCTCTCCCCATCTCCCAGCAACAATTATCTGGTCCAAATGTAAATACTGCCAAGACTGAAAACCCTATTGCAACCTGAATTTTATAAAGACATATCAATAATTTAGTTTTCATCTGTAATAACATTTCCTTGCATTGTAATTCGAAGTGTACTGTTGCCACAACTGTGTCTCTATCTGCTAGTGGTCCTTGCAGCTCTTAACACACTGGAAACACTCAAGTACAGGATTATATTTACTGGTCCAGGAGCAAATAGTATGTGTCAGAATTCAAACTCTGTGTTCTTATCTACTGTTACACACTTCCTATGATACATCCTTGATTAAAACTGTATATGCCTAAAACTGACTTCTTTTAGCTTACATAAGCTGAAGTTGGCCACTCATTTCCTTTTATGTATGTTTTAAGCTATCTTCTTAGTGGTTACCCTGGAGATTATAATTTACATCATAAATTCACAACAAACTTGTTTGAATTAATATCAACTCAGCTCCAATCATACACTTACTTCTGTCATTTTGCTGTCTGTTTTCTATATACCTTGTATCTTTTTTGTCCCTGATTTCTTGTAGTCCTGTCATATATTGGTTCAGCTGATATTTTGCTAGTAAAATGTCTAAATTCCTTTTGTGTATTTTCTATATTATTTTCGTTGTGGT